GTGTGTGTGTGTGTGTGTCTTGAAGGAGAGTCTGGATCCAGCACAGAACTGGTTGCTACAAATAAATCACGCTTGGCAGAGACGCATCACAATTGGTGACCAAAGATAACAAGCAAATGACAGAAACAGTTATGTCAAACAAACTTACACATACAGTATATAAACGTTACGATTTGGCTGCCATCTTTCATCCGAGCATTTTTAGTAAACCCCCTCTTGATTAGAGTAAAACAAACACCCAGCAAGCAAACATTTTACGTGGAACTGTGAGCCACCTTGTTACCACGTCAGGTTTTTAGTGGAGCATCCAGCACAGTTGCTTCATTCTTTCACAGTGGACAATGTATGGGTTCGAATCACGCTATTGAGCCAAAAGCCAAAGAGTTCGCTCTGTAGTCACCCTCTGTGGACTCAACGTCCCGCCCACTGCATCTTATTGCTTACACGTATGGATCACGGATCAACTTTGTTTTCCGTTACATCAATATTCTTTAATAAGACCCCAATAGAGCAAAATGCCACAACACCTAGGAGTTGCCTTCAAGGTGATGAGCAGTTACTTTAGCTGACCACGTACCTCATTGGTGTGCCAGCACCGTCTGCCTGCTCCTACACATCCAAAGTGTGTGCTGTGTGTCAATAAACCGCACAGTGTTCCTATAAAGCCACCTGTAGCTACTGTATTTTGTCATCTGCTGTGCCATCTGTGAGGTAAAGTGGGACGGTCGCCACTGGGCTTGAAAAGACCCCCCAGTCCTGAGGGATGCAGCTATAAAGTACCATCATTTTCACACATTTCACAAGCTGCATATTCAAATTGTTGTGTCCAAAACCTGTCCACGGACAGCCGTCGATCAAGTGATCTATGAAATTGCTAATTGTTTCAGTGCTAATCAACAGAGCTTAGAGATGCAGTGTTTCTTTGCGTGGACATGCAAGGATGAAACTGTGGTGCTACAAGAGGAATCTGCCCTATAATAAAGAATATTTTTTCTATCTGTCTTTTTATTATTGTCTCGTGATGTGGAGAATTTCCTCAGGTACTGATGCATAAAGAAACGTTCTCTGATCAGTCTCTGTTGTCTTAAATAATTGTATTTATTTACAGTTCTGTTACCAGGAAGCAGACCACCCTCCCTACTAGCTTAGTTACACCCTGAGAAAGTCATAAAAAGGGGTGTTTAGTAATTTTTTACAACAGCTAAGTTGCCTTTATAAGAAATGCTAACATATGTGGATGCAGTTCCCATGTGTTTCACCAAGTACAAACAAAGTAAAAGAGTCCACGAATAAAACTGGCCACCAAACAGCATTTGAGAAGTTTAAACTGGTTTAAACAAGAATAAACATTATCTTTGTCTAGCATAATTAGCTGAGAATGTAGGAGTTCTGGGAAACATCTGGACTCAAATTTTCTCTTTTCTCTCCGTCTTGTATTCTCTCTTCCCCCCCGCAGACTTTGAGGATCTGTTCGACGACGACGACCTGCAGTGACGACAGCATCTGAACCCCGGTGTGTTTCTGTGAACGTGTACAGAAGAAAATGAAAACGGGCATATTCTGACCACAGGTTCTCTTATTTGTACAGCCCCTCCCCCCTTCTACATGTCACTCACCACTATACTGAAATAAAGTCTTTTTGTTTTTACAAAAAAAGAAAAAGAAAAGCTGTCTTGGTGAACCAGGTGTCTGTGAATTCTGAGAATCCCTCACATTCCGGCTTTAGAGAAAATTATGAGTATGGTTTTGGCATCGTCGTGTTTGAATCTGCTCCCGGCTCGATTGTAGGTTTGTGGGCTCTGCGAAACACCTGTTAGCAAACGTTAATTACATACGAGATACAGTGTTAACATGACCACTAAATGTTCAGTTGGGGCACGATGGGACAGGAAAAGGGGGCTGCAGAAAAATGTGGAAATGCTTAAAAATACAGAACAGATAAAGTGTTCTTGTTTAGGTGCAGACTCGGGCTGTAAATCGCTGTAAAATTTTCTCTTTTTTTCCCCCCTGAGATAATGCATGCCCACATAAACCAGCTGCACATGTAGGCTTAAAGCATAAGAAGAAAAATAGAAAATAGAACATTTTTTAAACTTACACAATGCTTACAGCTGTATTCATATTGCAGGATTGACTACAGAGACAGAAGGTGGGCTGGACAGGGCAGGTGATCACAGTCTAATCTGTAATAATACATCAGAATGTATTTGCAAGTTGAGATTATTAATACAAAATATAATTAAAGTAAATGGTTACTAAAGCTGTTAGATATTTCTCTCTGAAAGTAACCTGAAATTGAAATAGCCAAGTATAAGTACCTCAAAATTGTACATGAGTAAATTAACTTTCCTACATTGTGGAAGAACCTGACTGGTCTGCCCAGAGCTCTGACCTTGGTTTTAGAATAAGTGTAACATTGGTGTGTCCACATACTTTTGGCCATGGCATGTATCTTCTTTAAGCTACCCAGCAGTTTATACAGTACAGTAGTTATAGTCAGCTCCACCTTAGTGTACACAATAATACATCAAACATTATAATGCAATCATATAATAAATATTCTGAAAAGGGTCACTCTGCGTAAATAAATAAGTACTTCTTCCTTTGGTATGTCACGTAGATTTTGCTGCTAATACATTTGCAACTCTTAAGTAAAAGATCTGAACACTTTCACCACTGCACCAAACTGGGAAACCCATTTCTATTTTAGCCTCATGTTGTCAGGGTGTTAGGCCTTCCTTAAACTGCGGCCACAAGGTCGCCTAGATTGGTATGTAAATATGTGCTCTGTCACACTAATTCAACTTAAAGGGCCTAAAAACACACTTTCCCAACCAGCTTTGTACTACGAGTAACTGGTTCAAACATGAACACAGAAATATCTGAGAATAAGATTAAGAACATTTTTGGTTATATCACATGAAAGATTTCTGTCTTTGCTGTTTTCACTGATTGGAAGTAGACGGGGTTCTGGTGAAGCCAGCATAAAGCAGCATTAGCTGAGTTTTTCAGTGTTAAACTTTTGATATTGATATTATCCTCAAACCTTTTACATTTGTTGCTTATTTAGTCATATATATTTAATGTTTGATGGGGAAAAACAGATTTCCAGCCATGTTTTAAGGGGCTTTATGATTTCTCTTAATTGCAATTAAGGGACAGAACTGTAAAAAAAAAAAAAGCAGCCCCTGTATTACACAGAGTACAATGATGCAGTACAATGTGTCTCAGTGTACATAAAACAGGGAAATGGAGAAGTTTAGTCTCTGTGCTCAGAGGAACACTCGAATTAAGAGCCAGTGTTCACATGGTAGCCATTTTCCAAAATTCAATACATCCAAAACGAATAGAAAAATGTATCCTCTCTCTAAACTATACTTTAATAATGTTACGTTATGAAACGAAATTCATTTGGGGGCTAAATCTAAAAAAAAAAAAAAGCTGATATTTCTTTCTAAGTGCAAATCTCAATTCCTCCATAACCTAATACAACGTTCCCAGAAGAAGATCCTCATAAGACTACTGAGTGTCATAACAGAATTACAGGCTCAGATGTGCTGATATTGCATCACACATCGCAGGTATATGGCTGTTTCAGAGACTCACTGTATGTGTGTGTGTGTGTGTGTGTGTGTGTGTCTTAAAAACTGGCATGTCTGAACACAGTTAAACTGTAGAGGAGGAAACTGTAGATTATCAAATTCCTCATGTGTAGACCAGCTGTCCCTGTGTGTGTGTGTGTGCGTGCATGCATTCAGGTTTAGACAGAAGCTGTGGTTTGGCCCTCATTGAGGGTCTCTGAGAAGTTGCTTATGTGGCACCTCAGCTCCCCTTCATTATTTCCTGATGTTTTCTCTCCTCTGTCCCTTTGTGTCTTTTGTTTTTCTCATTTGGGAGTGAGTGTTGCATCCCCAAAAACAAAGATCCAGAGTCTGATTTCTAACCTTAAATGTGACTCATAGAATTAATGATTAATTAATAATCAGTCGTGAAGGAATAAAAAAAAAAACACCACTTGAGACAACTTCTCTTAACATCTCTCCACGTCCCCATCTCTGCTTCAAGCCCTCCCACCTTCTCTCTTTTCCTGTCTTTAATTACGGTGCCTCTGATTGGCTGAAACTTTCCGCAGGATCCGACCAATCAGGCATCTTGTTGAGGTGGCCCTTGACCCCCTCAGGTGGTCCCTGTGTGTGTGTTTTTCTGTGTGAGTGTTAATGAATACTTGGCGTGTGTGTTCGGTTTAAAACCGTGCCCGATTCCTTCGTCAGGGCAGTCTGTCAGAAGGGCCGCAGGGACAGGGCGCACCAGGAACCTCTGCCATACCCGCAAAAAAAACACACACACCAACACACTTAGTGTTTGAGCCCAGGTGGACTGAGTCATCCGGCCTGTGAGGCTTCATTTGAGTCCACATCTGGATCCGGCAAGACAGCCACGCCGATAAGCTAACCACAGGTAAGAGAGTGGTGATTCTGCACTTCTTATGTTTGTTTTAGGTACTTGCCAGGGATTCAAGTTCAGGTTGAAGTCAAGGGTGACTGCTGAGGAACACCTGGTTCTGGTTTAATGATGACAAACCAGTAGCTTCAGCCCAGCCAGGAGCCTTGTGGCAACATGTTTGTTTAAAGAGTTCACTTCCAAGCTGCAGGGGTCACTTCAGCAGCCTCTCCAGGTCTCAGGTTGTGACTGGAGTGAAAATTGAACACCTTCCACCACATTTATATGGTTTCTCTGCACTACTGATCACTCTCACAGGTAACTAAAACATGTTTTGGAACTCTTGGTCTGTTTCCGAATATGCACTTGTCTGGGGAATCAGTGAAACCAGCTATAATATCCTGGCATTTTTGGATATTACACTGGTGACAACTGGTGTCAAGCTAAAAATGATTTTATTTTAAGGCAGGAAAGTGATGAAATTAATGGAGCGGGAAGTTCTGGGAGTAAAGCATAATTTTTAAATGTCAGTGTGGTTGGTATTTGCAGGAGAGGAGGAGGTGAAGTCATGGCTGGAAGGAGGAGAACCAGTTTCTCCGGCGTGTTCGTCACAACTCTGCTGGCTGTGATGCTGCTGCCTGGTGAGTACACAGTCCTCATCTTGACTGTTTCTATGGTATATGCTATGTATATACATGGCTTTCATGGTTCACTAAAACTGTCTAAGCTGTGAAGAAGTACTCTGATCTTTTACTTCAGTACAAGTTGTACTGCAGGGTAAGTTAGAAGTGCAGAAAAAGGGCCCCTGTGAGTGTTACTGTTGTAGAGACGGAGCTAATTTTTGGTACTTTATGTACTGGTAGTTTAATATTTTCATTATTTATTCAATTAACTGAACAAACCCCAAAGATACTCAGTTTACTATGATATAAAATAGAAAAAATACATTTTTCTTTATTTGACTTCAGCAGTAAAACAATCTGCAACAATTTTGATAATCTAATAATATGAATCATTTCAAACATTAATAAGATCATCATGTGTTTTGTATCTTCAGTTGTAAAGTAATTAGAGCTGTCAGATAAATGTAGTAGAGTAGAGGTGTAAAGCAGCACGAAATAGAAATAATACAAAAAAAGTTGTTGCTCGCATTTCTTGATCCAAAATGGGGGTTTCACTGATTTATAATACTGAATGAACGGATGGAGAGAGAGTGGATCATTAAATGAGTAATATTCTAAATGACAGCACTGTACTAGTCAAGTATCATCCGTCCTGATTATACAGAGATGCGTAGTTGAAAATGGTCATAATTAGAAGCTTTTACATCGCAATCCCACAATGATTGTAAGCCTTGAATGAGCTTATGCAATGGTTTTTTTAATAAAAAGCTCAATTTAGCATATGAGCATGCAGTAATTTCACATAATTCAAAATGAAAAATGGTTAGCGATAATCATGATGTTGATTGAGCTATTCATACCACAGTATTCATGTTAAAATTAGTTTTCTGTCTCCTTTTTAAAGCAGCAAGCCTCTTACATCAGTAAAAGTACAGTAAAGTGTTGGAAGGAAAACGTACTTAAAGCATCAAAAATGTAAAAGTACTCATTAGTTTAGGTGTCTGTTATATAATTCGATTTTTATTACACTTTATGTTGCAGCAGCTCATAATAAAGGAAATTCGTTCTGCTTTATTTACAGTCGGCTACTTTAATTTGTTTCATATATCTTCAAATTAACTATGGTTCTCAAATAAAAGTAGTGAAGTTAAAGAGTACAATATTTTCCTTGGACATAGAGAAGAAGTATAAAGTAGTATAAAATGCAAATAAAGTAAAGTACAAGTGCTTATTCCCCCTCCTGTGTCACCACAAAATTATTTGCTTAACATTCATATTTTATCTCTTGTTTTGCAGTTTTGTTCCTCATAATAAATACATTCTCCTTGAGTTATAGCTTCACAATCTGTATTTCAAGGTTCTCTCTGTTAAGGTTAAGGGTTAGTTGGACTGCGAAGGGTTTTTGTCCTTCACCAGTTCATGGACACAGACCTATGTCACCGAGTCCCTGTAACTCACTCTGCTTCATATATATCATAATGTGGCTCTCTAACACAACCCGTGGTGTTCAGATATCATCTATAATGCTTCACCATCAAGACAGGTTGCTCCTCCACCACCTGTTTCAGTTTTCTCTCGACATGATTGGCATATTTACAGTGTGACAAGGTCTCATCTTTCTTTTAAAAATGGTTTTTAAAATTGCCCCGTGTGATGGTTAAAAGGGGAAAAAAAGAGAGCTGAAGGAGGAGGGGTTTCTTTCATCATTTCTGCTCCTGTAAAAAATTAGTACCTGTCAGCATCACCTCCTCCTCTGCTCACTTAAAGCTCTGCCGTTTCCAGATGTGCCAGCCAGTGTTTTTTACAGGCTCATAAAAAACAATACAGCGGATACACTGAGACGGCATCATTTTGCCCACCCTCCTCCTCCTTCTTCATACTGCTTCATCACCTTGGGTCACCTTCACTTCTTGCAAATTCATGCCTCTGCTTGTTACCCTTCATCTGTGACCTTACTACAGTGCGCATCATGTCTTCCTGATTACTCCATCAAAGCTCATCAAAACTGTTTTTTTTTTTAAATCAGGAGATTGATGTTTTTCCACTTCCGATACGCGTCACATAACCCTGAATTATCCCCTCTGGATCTCTCTTTCAAACCTGTCTGTTCCCTTTCTTATTCATCCTCCTCTTCCCCTTCCTCTCCTTCTGTAAGGCATTAACACCTTTTCCCTGTGGAGATGAAAGAAACCTGAAGCAGAGCTGAATCCGCTGTTTCCGTCAGCTGCATGGGGTCAAACAGTGCACATATGTACACATAAGACACACGCACACACACACAAGTGCACATGCAGCTCTTTGAAAAATCAGCATGGGGTTTGATGTTACAGGCTCACCTATAAAATCTACAAAGAGGTGCAGTCGCCAGCGCTTGAGGCAGAGCCAATTACCCCTGTCCTATTTAATGAATAATATCTTCCTGTATGTGTTTGAGGTTTAATGTCATATTAGACACATTTAAAAGTCTGAATAGAAACAGTAAGCAATTTCCAGAGCTTAATCTTAACTTCTGTAACTTCTGGATCTTCTGGATTTTACATCTGTTTTTGCTTTTCTCTGTTTTGTGCAGCATTCTTGTCTGCTGGACCGATTGTGCAGAAGCCCAAAGGAGATGGTAAATATGTGATTTTTCATCTTAGCATACTAAAACATTAGTGATTGTTGATAGAAAGACCTCAGTGGCCATTTGCCGTGATTGAAAGACCATATAAGTTGTTGAAAAATGAGTCCATGAAAGTACTGTTTGATTAAAAAGTAGCACCCAAATTCATCACCAACCTCACCTCGCTTCAATGTTGCATCCACACCTAACCCTGTGATTGATGTAATGTGATATAGCTGTAAAAACAATTACGACTTAATGATGTCTAACCCCCGAATATAACAGGTTTAAGGCCTTGGATATCTCATTATAAACTTTAAAAGTCATGAGTAAGTCCTTGAATTTTATGTCCAAGTAAGTACAGAAGCCTTGGGATCAGCAGTGCCTTTGTGTTTTTAATTTTCCGGCCTCAGCGGGAGAAAGTATCCAGGAGAGAGCGGTTTCTGCAGAGTCACACAGGAGGTTGATCCGCAACCGCAGGAACATCAGCTGGTACAAACAGCACTCTGACTTCTGGGGATGGTACAAGTACTTCACCGACAGCGGCAACGCGGAAGCAGTAAGTAGACTATGTAACGCACCCACAAAATCAGCCATTATCTTTCTTCTTTCTACATTTATTACTTTGTCTAATGAAAGCATTAAAGTGACAGTGGATTCCAATAATGGAATTTCATAGGTTTTAATGCTGCTCTGATCAATATTTTTATATAACAGGTCAGATAATTATGTGTAATGAGAATGCAGGGCACAATGAAGTGAAAAAATGACCCAACTTAAAAGTAGTTTATAGATACCTGAGAGTAGACTTATGCCTTTTACTGCCCTTTGCAGTAAAGGATGCTACTTTTCAGGAACCGACTTACCTTTGTCTATTGACTTTAACCCAGGAATATTTGTGTCTGAAAGTATCCCTATTAGGGGGCAAACACCCCAACCACCTCCACCAATAAGCAGAGGCAGCCTGTAAGTAGCCTGAGAGGTGAAACCAAAGGCAAAAAACATCTGAAGCACTCAACCCACCACTCACTCCTGCTCATTAAGCTTATTGCTCTGAGAAGGCTTTTGCACCCCCATCCGCAGTAGAAATTGTATACTTGCCCCCAAGAGTTGGTACTTGGTGGTAACACAACCAATATTCCCCCCCTGCCTCAGGTTCAGGAGATGGATCGCATCTACCTGGCCTACCTCCAGAACAAGAACCGCGCTGAGGGACGTCGCTCCTACAAGGCCTACTTGCGCCACCTGGGGGAAGTGTACAAGTCCTGTGCCGATTCTGATGACCCCAACTGCGTGGCTTCTTACACCAGCAGGCCCAAACCTAAACCAGAGCCCCCCAAACCTGCACCAGTGAAAACCTGTGACCCCACCAAGGACCCCTATTGCCTGTATGCTGCTTTGGTCCAGGGAAAGAGCCCTTACCTGCCCTTGGTGCTCCCAGCTGCCACCCTTGCCCCAGCACCAGTGAAGGCACCAGCTCCTCTTTACGTCCGCTCTGCTGCTCCAGCCAAGGACCCACAGTCAGGCTATTACTACTACGCTCAATCTGCAGTGCCTTTCCTTTCCAAGGTACGCTTTCAGACAGTGTTTGTGTTATACTGGAATTCACTGAAGATTTTAGTCTAAAAAATACCTAAAATATATAATATTAAGAGGAATTTTGTATTTTATTATATTTCAACAATTTACCTAACCCTATGCTATTGCGGTGTGTGGAGATCTTACCTAAAAGCCACAATGTGTAGCATTTTTAGAAGTTTTTTTTGACTTTTCTGACCCCTTGTGGTAGTCATTGTACACTATGGCAGTGTCCCTCATCCTGTCGATCCCATCTGTGCAGTTAGGTGTAGTTTTCAGCCTTAAATTTTTCATATTCCCAATTATACCCAAAACATATATAACATCTTTAAATTCTGATGTATGACATAAAACAAATGTCCACAAAATGTTCTCAAACTGAAAGTACATTGGATTCTTAATATCAAGGTAACATGTCTGCCCTTGTTTCTAATGCTTCAGGAGCAGAAGACCGAGCTGCTGCGTATCTGCCCTTCTGACGATGTGGAGTGTCTGCAGTACCACCTGAGAGCGGCCTACGGGTATTCACCCTCTGCTGGACCTCTGCCTTCCTATGCTCACCTCGGCTGTGACCCCAAGAATGACCCCACCTGCAAACCCAAACTGGTGCAGAAAGCCCCTTCTGGTCTCTACCTGCAGTACCCCAACTGTGATCCACGGGATCCCCGTTGTGCCTATGCTGCCTCCCTTGTGGTATGCTTTATTGTTATTGTGATAGATTTGTTCAAATTCACTTTAACAGATTTCAACTGCTTTAACATGTTTTCATTTGCACCTATGCCTTGATTATCATAACTTATGGTGTTGCTACTGTCATGTGTTCCTCCAGGCGCCCCGTGCCCCTAACCCCCCTGCCCCTGCTGGCCCTGGATCCTGCAACCCTCTTTTTGAAGAAGGCTGCAACCCTCTTTCCGCCACCAAGTTTGCTACTCCCCCTGAGGCATACAAAAATGAGGAGCAAGATGAGGCTGCTGCCATTCGTGCTGCCCCTCCTCCTGCTGAGCAGAACAACGACCCCTATGCAATGTTTAGGGATGCTTATGCTAATGCTAACGCTAACAGAGTTATGGATCCCTATGCTATGTACCGCCAGGCTAGCGCCCCAGCCTCTCCTCCGGCTAATGACCCATATGCCACCCTGCGCCGATTCATGTCCCAGGCCCACGGGAGTGACCCATATGCTCCCCGCATGGAGGCTGCTCCAGAGTCTAACCCCAACGATCCTTTCTCTGCTATTCGTGAGGCTGCGGCCGCCATGCATCGTCATGGTCCTCCTACCCCGAGGCAGCAGTACCCTTTTTCCAATTCCAATTATGGAAATGAAGAGCCTCCCCGTGAGGAGCACCACCCTCTGGGCCCACCAGGTAAAACAAAGGAGGGCTACGACTGTTTCATCGGCTACGATCGTGAATGCTACCCCGTGAAGCCCAATAATCCACGATCTGGAGTTCACCGCCGCATCCCCTATCCTGCCGAAGCCTACGAGCCCCACCTGAACGCTGACGGCACCCGAAATGGAGTCATGGAGCCTGAAAACCCACACTGTGACCCCGAACACGACCCCAACTGCCGCCTGCGTCGCTACGAGCCCGAGCAAACCCACGCCGAGGCCCACCCTGAGCAATACGGCGAGGAGGACCACAACCAGAGGGCAGCAGAGAGCGAGCAGCATCAACAGCAGGAGGAACAGGACCAGTACGAGGCGGAGCCCTACCAGAGCGGCCAGGAGGAGCCTCACATGCCCTACCAGCCACTCTCACAAGGTATGCCCAGCCTCCAGGACATACTGAGGCGCTATGGAGACCAGTTCCCTGAGCAGGGTGATCACAGAGCCTATGCAGATGATTACCGCAAGAAATAAACAAGCTAACACACACATGCATGCAGATGGACATGAATACACAGTCCCGTGCGTTCTTGTAGCTTAGCCCTTGACCACCTCACCGCACGCAGTATTTCCTACCTGGACCAGATATGGGACTCGAGAGAAGTCTATGGACCCAATGAGTACATGCATGTACATCCACACATAGCTTCCAGCTGTAGGAGCACGCTCAGAAAGCCGAGGGTGTTCCAGCAATGTTTTCTTCTCTTTAGCTGCTTTAGACCTGTTGCTTTGGCCTATTGCTTTCCAGCTTCCACCTCCTCAAACCACTCGAATGTGTAATGACTCCTCAATGCTTTGCTTCTGTATCTATGCATCTCACATTTTTTTACTTGTTTGTTGCTTTTGATCAGTGATGGATTATGTAAAGATTTTTTTTTTCATTTTGAATGTTCTAATAAAAAGCTCTAGAAAGCTGTTTTTGTTGCTTTAATTTAATGAATCCAGACATTCAATTTAACTACACAGACAAAATGGACAAGTGGCCTCTGGGTCTGAAAAGCCAATGAAGTCCCTTAAACCTGCATCCTTTCTAAAGACCATAAGGAGGCAACCCCACTGGTTGCATAAATAAATATTATTGTATGGAGATCTGTTAGAAAATTACCCAACTTCTTACTTGACTTATTACTTCAGCAATGAGTGTCGGAAAGAGTTTATTGTCTCAATTGCTAGTAGACCCAGATATCCTGTATTATTGTATGGACCAAACTGCATAAATAATGGTGTAATAAACCACTAAGCATCAAAGCATAAAAAAAACTTCTTAGACTACTTCTGCAGTTCTATGTCTCAAATGTACAACCATATACTATTGAAGTTCAGGTTAGGAAATATTGCAAAATTGCCACCTTTCACCCTAAAGTAAGTCTTTTATTCAAGGGGATACATTTTGGGTGGAGCAGCACCTTAATAAATCTCTAGACTCTAAACCAAAGTCTAACTTTCCAAAGATCAACAGGAAAAATGGTAAAATAGATCGCCAATAGATCCTCCTAAATGTTACACACTGGACCTTTAAAAGGGTTTCTCTCTGCCCCTCTGCTCTTGTCTTACCCTCCTCTGACTTTTTGCCATGCTGGTTCTGGCTCTGCTCAAAATACACAGCACACAGCATGCTGGGGTATCACAGAGAGAAAAGGCCTGACTTTATTGATCCGAGAGCTCTCAGACACACCAACAGCATCAGCCATTTAGACATCCAGGGTGAAGCTCTTTTAGTGCTCAGACAGTTGCAGAAAAGTCCTGACTTTAGCCACTTTTAAAATAATTCACCGTCATTGTCATTGTCACTGTGGCTCCTTCAAGAGAGAGACTTAACTGGGAAACAAAAAACACAAAGAGATGGTGAAAGGGGATTGATTGGTTATTCTCGTTGTGTTTTACTTTAATCAGTAATGTAAATGGCAGCCTTCATATGTCTCTAGATTAGGTTTTATTTAAGCAACTTCTGAAGATGTTAAAACTGTAAAAGCTGTTTGGAAGACGTTAAAGCAGGATTAGGGAGCTGCATGTTCATTACATGACTTGATGTCACAGGAATTGGGCAGCTGCAAATTGATAAAAAAATAAAATAAAAAAGAAACATAAAAAAAAAGTAAAAAAGTAGAATAACAAGTTTTAGAGGTTATGTCTTCTGTTTCATTATCAGAGATGGATGTTGTGCAGTTCTGGAAATGCCAACCCAATCTTTAAGGTGGTTGAGATATAGACATTAAAAAATGTCAATTCTGACAGCAAATGACCTTCTAAAACAACTTAAGATAAAGAGTTTGAAAATAGCTCAAAGTTCCAAAGTCCTGGATAAGAAAAACAACCAGCTTTTCAGTTATGTAAGAAATACTCTTGAGACTCTTTAAGATATAGTGCTAAAGAATAATTACCTGTAAAAATAATGTTTATTGCAGAGGACATCCTGGGCTTTCTGGTGATAGATCAATTGATAGGCTAAGATGATGGGAACTTCCTCTTTCTTTCTTTTCAATATGGACAACATAAGAGCAAGCACATTTTATGGAAGAGGAGAAGTAAGTCCAATATTATTATCTGTTGTTGTTTTTTACTATGATAATCACATATGTTCTTGTTTATTAACATGTCAGGAATTACATATTTAGTTCTGAAAGCAGTTCACTACAGTTGACGTTCATAAAAGAACAAAAATAATTGGACACCAGGACCATCCCTATGTAATGACTCCACATTGTTGTAAGAGACTCCACATGCCAACACTCCAAGATCGTCACTCCTACATATATGTATCTGTCACACACACACACGAGACACACAC